TAACTTAATTTTTTTAAAGGCTCGAACTTGCTTTAGTTTTAAAAAGCCTAGTTGCAACTGCATAGGAGCCCTGACTGCAAAATTTAATCAGTTGAAAGCTAGCTTTTTTAGATTTTGAGATCATAAGACAAAATATATTAATCTATTCTAAGTTCAGGTTGACTCGACGAATTCAAGTAGATAAATGCCCAAGTAACCTCATCAGGTTAGGAAAACGAGGTCCTATAAACTAAATATAGCTAAAGAAGATTGCAATCAAACCTAAACTATCTATATTCACGATGTACACACTTTCTGCCTCTCCTCTCGTTCCGAACCTACCTCTTCCTGGTGGTCTTGGTCGAATTGTTGGATGGCCTGGCACATAGCGCGCCCCATTTCTACGGTTCTCTCAGCATGGTCCAAAACTGGATTAGGACAACCGGCTACGCAGTAATAACAGTCACCTAAAGTGGCGATTTTCTCGCAGCCCGTCAATTCGCAGAGGCGATCGAATCTATCGTGGAGGCGGTGAAGATGGGTAGCAGTTCGAGGCAAGAAGAAAAGATGCCCAAGGAGGGTAAAAAAGATGTGTATTGGATAAGGATATGCATTACATAAATGGGAAAGAAAAAACAGTATAGGAGGGTTTGTGTTTATTGGATTCGCACGTAATAGAGAAGAGGAACAAAAAAACATAGAGTATTATAAATATACAGGGACTGTGATTATATAGGTAAGCCACTTAAAAACTACAGATGGGAGAATCAATTGATTCCACTCAAAAGCTTAATCTTATTCTGAGACTATATAGTATCCAAACGCCATCCTACGTGGCATTTATATTTGTATCTCCCTAAGGTTACTCAAAGAGTATGCCATTTAAAGACAGAATAAAACTCATAAAAAATAATTATGGCCAAATATTATGAAAGATTGGTGCAGATAAGAACATTTGATAAAGGCTCAATGTCAGGTTATAATTTTATGAGCTCTCATATGAAACGCATTTAAATTAAAGTTTTCACTGATGTTAGGTAATTAATATCCTAGTCTTACGACTAGGTTATGCATAAAGTTGCAGACAGAGAAATAATGTTGACATTTTAATGAAATTATGGCAATCAAGGATGACCTAGAATAGTTAAAAAAAAGAAATATTCGAAGAATTTTGTTCAAAATTTCTAATTACAGAGCAATGAGAAATCCATCTGCCTCCAGGAGTTAGCAATTACCATCAGGCTTTTGAAGATGATAATTACATGATTTCGTGGCCAGCAAACAGTTAGCAAATATAATTGGTGTGAGTAGGCTTTGAAACTATCAGTAATTGGTTGACAAGAAATTAGTTGTTCTAGGTTGTCCATGACGAGGACCAATGATGGAAATATTTCATAATGATGTGAGCAAATCTCACAATTCAATATAATTTCATTCAGTCTGACTCTTAAAAGACAGATAAACCTCTTTTTTCGTTTACAAGTAGGTTTTCTTGTCTAAATATTCATCTAGCATATTATCA